TGTTGTCGTCTAGGTGGGGACCAAGGGAGTCGTCAGCGAGAGAGAGGCGGTGGACGAAACGAGGGAGGGTTGGCTTGGGTTGCGCCATTTCGACAAGCACCCACTGTCGGACAAGGGCGGCGAGAAAGTTTCGGTAGGCGGTCTTCCATGTGGAGTTCATTTTTGTTTGCTGTCTTTTCATGGAAAGGTGCTATGCAACTGTGCAAGGTGAATTTTCTTTTGTCGAACACCGTCCCCTAAAATATGCTCAAGGAGTAGGTGGCAGACAAATGCCCTCCTGCGATGTGCGCTTGCAACCCTTGAACTTGGCGTCTTTACTTGGTATGTTGTTGTTCCTGGTCTCAGTGTGCTGCAGCGAAGCACCGGGTAGAGGTGCTCGCCTATACGCCGGAGTAGTGGCTGATGTGATCTGCTGGTTGTGTATGAGTGTATGTGTTTCGTGCGTCCGAAGGTCGTATTAGACACCCCCCATACTAAATTTATGGGTAGAAGGGGCTATTGTTGCACAACGAGGAGTGCCATCCTACGGAGGCGAATGAAACGATGAAGATCCCGGGAGTAATGCCTCGGACATCGGCCAACCGCGACGAATAAAACTAAAATGCCCCAGGGCTAACTCAAAGTTTTGAGCTTCGGCCAGTAATTGGGGGGGGGAGATTCTCACGGAGGGGGGTGTTCTGCACGGTAAGTGAACTATAATAGTTCAATAATTATAGACCGCACGAAGTAGAGAAAACTCCCTGTGGGGAGGTGTCGCGTTTGTTTGTGATTTACACACCACGAACAACAAAATGTTGGGAACTCATTCACGTGGTAAAATGTGTTTGTTTGACCCTTGACACAAAGCGCAGTATACCGTGACCACCGGAGCATGATTAGTGCTATCTCCATTCTCTTCCTTCCAAATCACGCACGTGACACGCNAATAAAACTAAAATGCCCCAGGGCTAACTCAAAGTTTTGAGCTTCGGCCAGTAATTGGGGGGGGGAGATTCTCACGGAGGGGGGTGTTCTGCACGGTAAGTGAACTATAATAGTTCAATAATTATAGACCGCACGAAGTAGAGAAAACTCCCTGTGGGGAGGTGTCGCGTTTGTTTGTGATTTACACACCACGAACAACAAAATGTTGGGAACTCATTCACGTGGTAAAATGTGTTTGTTTGACCCTTGACACAAAGCGCAGTATACCGTGACCACCGGAGCATGATTAGTGCTATCTCCATTCTCTTCCTTCCAAATCACGCACGTGACACGCTGGCCCAAAAGAAGGAGCCCACTTGAAAACGACATACATAAAGGGAACCACGCACATGGCCATGCTGAAAGGTCCTTCGTCAAACGGGTTACTACACGGCAAAAGAATGTCGCCGGGCAATCGTTGTCAGGGCAAGGTACATTTCTGAGCATCGGCTCAGCTCTCTTTCCTGCTCCCCAAAGTACGAACGCATGCGATGCCGCCACAAACATATTTGCACCCACCCACATTTCAGCATGTATGTGCCACTCAATTCTCACGCGATGTTTATTTCCTCAAGAGGTACTTAACCTACTTTTACCTACAAATAATTGCATTGCTTCGCCTTTAAAAAAAAAAGTATGCCACGGTTTTACGATTTTAAGATTGGCGTGGAACAACAAAAAAAGCTTGCCACCGTACCGTCCTCGCCCTCCTTTCTATACCAACACTGGCAAGTGCGTGGGCCTTTCAGGAACCACACTACGAATGCGAGGGACGCCAAAACCCGAACGTATCGAAAACATGTGCTAAACGAATGCATCCCAGAAGTATATAATATGGCGATAATGCAGGCGTGGGCCTTCCAGGAACCAGACTATGAATGCGAGGGACGCCAAAACCCGAACGCCAAAACCCGAACGTATCGAAAACATGTGCTAAACGAATGTATCCCAGAAGTATATAATATGGCGATAATGCAGGAATGCCACGTGGATCACACCTAGAGCAACGAGCCCTCCCATATCCCCACCCAATTCCCGCTCGCTCTCATCCCTCCCTTATACTGCGAGATTTNAGGGACGCCAAAACCCGAACGTATCGAAAACACGTTGTGCTAAACGAATGTGTCCCAGAAGTATATAATACGGCGATAATGCAGGAACGCCACCTGGATCACCCCTAGAGCAACGAGCCCTCCCATATCCCCACCCAATTCCCGCTCGCTCTCATCCCTCCCTTATACTGCGAGATTTTTCCCCACCGCTCCGTCAACCTGCGACATTATTAACCATCGCAAAAATAAGTGAGAAGGGCGATCGGGGGGAGGTCGGGTGGGCGAAAATTGCAAGGCAACACTGCTGCTGCTGTACATCGTTTTTTATATTGCTGGTGCGTCGATCTGCCGTATCGTGGCGCAAACGAGAGACAAGGATAATCAACACCGTGGGCAGGATGGCACACAAATATGTTGAGGCGTGGGATAGCACAAAAGGCGTTCCTGTACCGAAACAAGCGGAGAATGGCATCAAGATGATGGTGCAAGCTCGTTCTATGTCAAGAAGAAAATCAATGGGGTGGGCTGCAATCGATTCTTGCTTTCGGAGATCACCTTCACTATTTCGTGCTTGATGTCCTCCAAAATGTCGTAGGTGGTGCCCCGTTTCTCCGCGCTGTATCCTCGTTGTCGAGCGCTGCTTTCGCACCAGCTGCGTCCGTTGCTCTCGAAAAGGCCTTTCCTCCACCAGCCGTCTACTCGGTCACGCGCGGAAGATTTTTTTTTTTTTTCCGGCTGCATGGGGTGCGATCGCCCCCTGTAGCGGCATTTTCGCCTTAAGGCTGTACTGACTACAGCCAGTGGGAAACAGGGCCCCCTGAACCGTAACATTTTTTATTCATGAAACCGTCGGAAAAATGCGTTATTGGAGAGGGGACAGGGGGTGGGCGGAAACACGTGGAAATGAAGAGATAGCTTCCAACGACGTGCTGTAGAACCCAAGCGACCGAAACAAAGCACCCACACCACAGACCAGTGCGAGCTATG